ATAGCGGAGATCATAAAACAAAAATAATATTATACAATTCTAATGCAGAAACAACATTTGATTCCCACAATTCCCCCCTTTTTCTTTTTTTATACATTGTTGATTTCTGCAATTCTTTTTTAAGGTTCACTTTTGTAGATATCTCCCATCTCCTCTAATACCATCATTTTATCCAAATGTAATGGCTCCATTAGTGTTTGCTTCAATAGTGCTCTCTCTGTCAATCACTCTACTAGTCCCCTCACAAAGGGGATAACACAGCAATCAGTGGCCATCAAGGCTCCTGCTGCTACTATCAAAGAAGTAAATGTGGATACAATCACCCCTTTCCATTCACCAAACCAGGACTCCGACCATCCAGTGACAGAAGTATCTATTCCTGAAGGGTGAAGACGTTTATCTTCTGGTACCTCTGGGTGCCTCTTATCTGTGCTACGTCAAGAACTATTACCCGTAGATGATTTTTGTAATAGTTGTAGCAGCTACTGGCAAGAGAAGTTTACTTTTTTTTGGACCAATTAAATACAGACTAGGAGAACAAGTAGGAATATATAAATTCTTGTACATGCCAGGTTCTCCAAAATGATTATTTGGGCATGACATGTTAGAATAGTTGAATGTAGAGATCGAATTCAGTAGAGACAATTGGAGCTACTTGTCAAGCAAGACCAATGGACTGCAAATTTTAAGTCTGGCTTTAACACAAACTGGGAAAAGCAATGTTGTACTCCCAGAAGTTACGTAAATTCTAAATTGGGTATACACAGGATTGCAGGCATCAGGGATGCCTGGCAGAATCTAAAATGCAGCCCAATGAAAGTTAAGTTAAAGATGGGAGCCAGCCCAACCACGGTAAAGCAATGCCCTTTGAGGATACAAGATTGTGGGAGGATAAAAGAAATAAAAACAACTTTTTGGATTTTGGATTACTAATTGGATAGAAATCCAAACACAACACCCAATCTTGCAAATGAAAAATTGGATGGCAAGAGCTATAGTTTGGTACAAGATCTGAGGGCAATTAATAGAAAAGTTGAATATATACAACTCATGGTGTATATCTTTATTAATCAAGTTAAGGAATAAGCAGGTGGGGTTTACCATTCTGGACTTGAAGTACACCTTTTTCAGCCTGGTTTTGCCAAAGAAAGTCTATAATTATTTGCCTCTGAGTAGGAAAACTCAAATATGGAGAGAAGAAAAAAAAATAATTAAAAGTAATAATAATAATAATTCAGTTAACCTGCACAGTGATACCCAGGGTTGTGAGAACAGCCCAGAGATTTTTGAGAACTGGCCAACTCGTGAGCCTGAGATTTGGGTTCACCATCTCACAGTGGAACTTTACTGCAGTACGTGGATGCTACAGTAACAAAGGACTGTGTACAATGGACTGTGAGCTTGCTGAATTTCTTGATTTAAATGGCTATCAAGTTTCTCAACAGAAAGCACAACTGATCAAAGAGAAGGAAGCAACTTGCTGAACGCTCAGAACACCAACGCAGAGCTGCCTCCAAGCCAGCAGTGTGCGACTGCATGGAGACTGTCTGTGCAAGTTGGTCAGACCTACCGGAGGAACCGTGGGACGATGCTGAGGAGTCCTGGATTCATCGGCGGAAGCAGTTTTGTGAAGACAAGGAAACTGTAAGGCAGGACATGCAGTAACTGCTACTGACAAGGAGTCCTTCTACTTAACTTGGGGAAGATCTTTGATAAGTTTACATCACTTATCGTATAGACGAACCTTCCCAGGAACGCGCACACTGTATATAGGTGTATATATGTATATTTTGTCATACACACTGCAAGAATATCCTGCACGAGAGCAAACCAGAGAACAAGCCATGGCATGCCCGAGGAAGCGCCTGAAGAGACATTGGAAGGCCTGACATCATCCCCCAGTGCTCTTTGTTTAACGATGATGACTTTAAAGAAAATCACCATATCAATACGACAAGGAGAGCACTGAGAAGACATCTTGGAAACAACAGGATGACTACTGACTGGCACCAGATAACAAATAAATTAACAAGTAAATAGCAAATGTAAACCTTCTGATAAGATTGTGAACCTGGAGTAACCAGCCATTGGGGAATCAGGGGAGGGGGAAGGCAAGGGGGAGAAAACAGGGTATAAAGGCTGTCATGTTGTGTCCATAGGCGTGCTCCTACTTGCGGGACGCCCGTCATTGCAATCGCGAATAAATTCTGCTTTTATCAGAGATACCGTCCTGACAAAAGTACTTGGATATTTCCAACAGTAGGGAGATTAAGGGTTTCTGTCTGGACTCTTCAAACAAAACAAGCAAAATATTCACTTCTATCTTCTGACACACACTGAAGTTACATTTCTGTAATTGTCCTAAGGACTGAAGCTTGCTTTCTCTAAAAATACTAGTTGTGCCCCTTGTGTCAGCAGCACAAATAACTATACAGGTTCATTGCCAGCCAGATGAGTGAGTTGATCTATCTCCAAAACAACTTGTATACATTTTTCCCTCTTAGTTATCAAATGGATCTACTGACGACCCAGATCAGAGGTCAGGAATTGGGAAAAGTGAGTGCATGTTTTTCTGTAGCACAGAATTTAAGTTCATTTAATCCATTTTTTAAAATACGCCTCTTCTCAGTCCTAAGGTTCCCTTTTTAAAAGAAAAGGAGGACCATAGGAAATTGTCTGCTTGCAAGCACAGATTGCTTCAGACATGTTTATCCCCTACATGGAGGAGAACTTGTGCTGAAAAGTTAGCAAGTTTGGGCTGTCAAGTCAATGATAAAGTGAGTCTTTTATCTTTCCATATTGTTATTTTCCATGTTGCATCTTGAGCAGTGAGGCTACATCTACTTTTGTTCAATGAAAATTGAGATTCTGTGTTGTTCCAAACTCTGGGAGCAGAAAAGAGGGAAATTTTCAGTAGCTGGAATGTATAATAACAGAGGTTTGTAACACTGTAGTGTGCGAGGAAGAGGATATGATGACACAGGAGCAGAAGAAAGAGAGACTCGGTTTGACTGCAAACAAAAGCAGCAGGCTGGGTAAATAGTGTACCTAGCACTTCTCAGCAGCCTTGTCAGAGAGGCAAAAGGCTGCCTCTTTTAATCTTTTGTAATTGCACTGCAGGTGTGAAACACCAGGGGATGTACTTGGTTCTTTTTACCTTTCTCAATACTTGTCTTGAGAAATTCCGCCACAACTTTCTGATGTTTTGTGAGCCAGAGGCTGAGCAATAATGGCTTAGAGAATGGCTTTGAACCCCCACTCACTGGCGTGACATCGGTGGGGAGGAGTGCTGGATGGAGATCTGAAAAGGTCTCAGAATAGCTATCACTTCTCTCTTTGCCATTGACTCTCTGGTGACCTAAAGCTAATCTCCTCCCATCTATGAAGTAATTTGCCTCTGAGCTATTTGCTTGGATGTCATTTAAAGTAAGTGATGCCTCAGTTGTCTATTTCTCTCCTTTTTGTGACCAACATCAAGTTAGGATATTTTCTGAGATAACTCAAAAAGACTATATTAGCACAGTGTTCAAAGTATATGCTGACAGTAAAGCATTTTAACAGAAATGGAAGGAGTTTACCTAAATCAGAACTGCACAAGGATCACAGAACTCATTTTCTCTTGGGGTTACTATGTACAGTGCTAACAGATGTGTGTGTTTTCTGCCTATTAGTCCAATTTTTCATGTTTTAGGCTATCATTTTTTAAGATGCAATATACACATGCCTGGATAAGTGTTTTCAGTGGGTCCAGGCATCTTCTAGGTACCTAGTAGGCATATTTAGAAGATCTTTTAATAATAATGCTTATCACTTAGTTTTAGGAGAGCTTAAAACAGTTCACCCTCTTTTGTCTTGTGTTAGCACTGTGTTCCTGGTGTTGGTTATGTGTCATGCACTGTGCAATTAGAACATAATATGTCATTGTATAAAAAGTCAATGACCTAGAGCACTACAAAGCATTACTGTACTCCTTAAAATTAATCTGCAGGCTCCAAAGACTATTCCTACAACACTAACTGTCCTCTCTATTGCCTGTCTATGCTCTGAAACAGGGCCTCTCTTTCATCTTTGAGCTAGAAAACGATCTCCCATCATTTTGAGGTACAGTGTGATTATCATTAGTATAAGTCATGGATGAAAATGAAAGCAGAAGTAAATCTGTAACTCTTAAAGCTGTGCAAAAGCCGAGTTTTTATTTTCCCTAAATATAATCTGAAAGAAAATAAATGTTTATATTGGCTTTGAAATGTTTCAGTCCAGTCCCGAACCACTGATGTTCTAAAAATGAAATGGACATTTGCCAACACCTCACTGAAGAAAGGCCATTCCTGAAGAATGTGGTAATAACACCAGCCGGTTTACTGGCATATTCTCAAATAATAAATAAAAAGAGCCAGAAGTCTGGTTGAACCAGAGAGCACTTAGTAGTCGTGAATGTAAGGAATGCAAGGTTCCAGATGCCGGCTTTCCAACTTGGAAGTTTGCACGTTCCTATTCCATCATTTCTAAAATACTAAGTGAGAGCTAGATCAGCATAAACTAGTGTGAGAACCCTGCTTTGTTTTCTGGCTCAAAGCCTGCTTCCTGACGTATTTCTTGTGATAAGACTCCGATTGATATATTGAGGAGGTAAGTGATGGGTGCTACTGTGTGATAGTCGACATCACTCTGTGGACATTTGAAAGTACCTTCCTTCAAAGCTGCTTGCCTCTGGAAAAGAGTGCTCAGGAGTGTTTACTGGTGGAAGATCTGGCCTGTTACTAAATAGCTCCAGTTTGGTATGGGAAAACTGGGGAATGATACCATCGTTTCCTGTGAAAAACAGGATGCAGATGGACATCCCTGCTCCCACTTATCTGCTAGCAAGGTCGGGAAGATGGAAACAAAGGAGTTTCTGCTGAGATCCCAGAGCCAGGAGCTGCTGCTCCAAGGAGAGCTGACTCAGCTACTTTGGACTTATAAATAAGTTTGTACTGTCATTGAAAAGACATCACTGTCAACTGAACAACAACACCCAACGGCCCACCACTACTGAAGATCAATGACTGAACTGCGATCCACGCTGGACCCATGGTGGTGACTATCTCCCTCTTGCTTCCTATAAAAACTCCTTGCTTCTATTTCCTATCTTTTCTATCGCCCTTCTTCTATTCCCCATCTCCCTGAACAACTAGGATTTGTAATAAACTGATCAGACCAACATTTGAACCATTGTTTCTTAATCTCACGTTGGGTATACATGTATCAAAGAACCTCCTCTCCCTCCTATGAATCAGAGCAAGACACCTAGTTTCTCTAATATCTTTAATGTTAGCTCTTAATGATATTTTCCACATGTTTTATTTCAGTTGTGTTGGAATAGTGAAGAAGAGAGATTTCATTACTTGTTGAATAAGCAAAGCCTTGAAATCTGTTTTGTTTTGTTTTTTACTCAGTTACTTATGGGCAGTGTTGCCTTATCCCCAAAGACTTCACTCTTGGATCCTGTAAATTCAGCTAAGACAAAAAAAGGTCTTGATGTGATTTACAAAAGCCCCTGCTGGAGGCAGAGAGATCTAGTTTTAGACGTATATTCTCTATATAACTTTGTTGTCTTTTCCTCTTGCATTCATTGCCTTTGTTCTTCTCTTTCTGACCTGACCTAGTATTTTTCTTCTTTCCTTCTGTTCTGAAGGCTGCAGGACAGCAAATGTGCTCTTGAGTAGTAGAAGTGTCTGACTTTCATGTGCTACAGACCACAGCAACTTTTCCTGTAAGTCTACATGTTACATCTAACAATCAGCCATGAACCTTTGTTCTGCTTTAACAGATTTGGTTAAATAGAGGCCCAAGAAATGTTGACTGATGTACTGAGAGCTCATTGGAAAGGAATAGAGTTAAAAAGCATTGGAGAAGTGCTCTTTAAAACTATTTTTCTCTTAGTGTGGGTGGAAGGAAATTGATGATGTCTATTTCCTACAGTATGTAGTGACCAGTGGTGTGCTGAAGAAGGCATGGAGGACTTTGAATTGGGTTTTGAATTGGATGCCACCCTGCTGTATGCTGAAGGAAGTGTCAAAACAAGGAACAAGTGAAAATGTAGACCTAAGAAGTGTGCAGATTTTGCTCACCCACAGAATGCCATATTGTTGCCAGACAAACTTCAGCCCAAATAAAACTCCTTAACACCAATATAGTATTAAGAAGCAGGCATTACTTTTTATTACAACACTGGATACATGGGGGATATTTCCACCAAAGTCAATGGAAAAAAGGTACGTTGTTTATGTACCTTTGTGTAAACCATGTCTGTGCGTTTGGAGAGAGGTCTACAGTTGTCTTGTCATCACGACCCCACCTCTCCCAGTCACACATGCTTGCTTGGCTAAGGATAGGGCTAATCTCCCTTCTAGCAGGCTAGATAGATATGGTAGTTTTCAAAATGCTCCTAAAAGACAAGATTAGCCATTCTGACAACAGTATCACTTCTGTTGTATAATATAAAAATGTAAAATGCAGTTTATGTGGAAAAGTCCTTGATGTTTAATAACTAAATATCTGCTTTCGCAAAGTTATCTTTTCCCCTCTGATGTTAATAACGGAAATCTTTGAATTCAGGTGAGTATTATGAGCCTCAGTAGCTTCACTCTGATTGGAAAAATTCCATCCAGGTTTCCCTCTGAATCTTTAGGCACAGGCAGAGCATTTCGTCAAATAAAGCAGCAGCTGACTAAGCAGCGTGTTTGCTGTGTTCTCACTTGTTCCTTTACACATTGTTGCTGGGCTGTCAAGGGAGGACGTGTCTGTGTAGAGTACGATCTGGCTCTTGATGGGAATAAAACTGGCCCTTGCAAGAGGCACAGTATGAAAAAAAATTAACCGAAGTATGAGAAACACTTGCAAGCCGATAACTTAGGCTCAGGCAAGGGCCTCACTGACCAGTATTTTATTTCATGATTGCAATGGTGGGTGTTCTGCAAGCATAAGCACATGCTGCAAGGAAAACTGGATCTTGTATTTCCTAGTTCCTGACACTGAGCCCCTCCCCTGGTTCTCACTAGTGCTCAGGTTCACATTCTTCCAATTCACATACCATTCACACATCTCTTTGTCAGGTAAGCAGGTAGTTAACAAAAGTCTGTCTCTGTCTCTCCAAGTAAGCAGAATCCACAAAATATTTGCCACTCCAGCATGTCCTGCTGTATATCTGCTGGATAAGTTTTTCTTGTGCAGTTCTGAGTGAATATGCATGTCTTAAAGACGTTAGGTTTTGCTGCTCGCTCCCCTGTCAATCTCTCCAAGGGAGGAGAGTTCGTAAGTGCAGCCAGACTCTCCCAGAAGCTCTGAATAGAACATTCTTTCACAGCCTAGTGCTATCCCTATTCTTTAGCCACAGACAAAAAGTTATCTTGTATCATGAGTTCTGAAGTATGTCCCTTTGCTACAAGATTTTATTACTTATGCAAAAACAGCATTTCATTCTGTTAGTTATGCAAAAACAAGATTTTGTCTCCCACAGAAAGGAAAGAATGATGATCGTGATGTGGAAAGTAAGCATTAGCATTGCCAAACAGCCCAATTTAATGTGGCATGGGAAAACTTTCCACCATTAAAGAAATGTTCCTTGTATTACTTTAGCAGATCTCCTGCATCCTGACATTGTGAGAGTATGTTTTTTGTCTATATTTTTATCCTACTACAGTAAATCACAGCTTTTTTTTTTCTTTTTTCCTTTAAGTAATTAAATCTGTTATTTATGCTTGATGAGTGTGAACAGGGGTGGAAAGAGAAAGGGTTCCAGCTAGGTAAAGGGCCTAAAGCACAAAGAACTCCAGCAGGAATGGATGCAAATCTGTTAAGTGTGGCTCCAAGCCTCACAGTGATCCAGTCATGTATTGAACAAGAGCTCTGCTACTGAAAAGTAAGCTAGCTCTTCGACGGGGCTGAATTTGCACGTGTAAATTGTTTGTGTGCACATTTTTTGCATACTCTCACATGGTTCTTCTAGTAAAAGAGAGGGATCATCTGTGGGTGTAGGAGTTTTCTTTGAATCTCTGTTGTTTTTGTTCCTACAAATCAAGGTATAGCTCCAGATGTTGTTTGACTAGGTATTCACACGGTTGTTTTCTAACCTAATGTTTAACATGCTTTTAGGGTGATCCAGCAATATACAAATATTTTAGGTTAATCCACCAAATACTAATTTAAAGGTCAAAAAGCACCGTCTTCTGAGATTTTGTCCTGCAGTTTTTCATGGGAAAATGAATTGCTCTTTGGAACACAGAGGAGTATTCAGTATCCATTTGGCTCTCCATCCATTTAAAGAAACTAGCTGGAGGATCAGGCTCAGAGTGACGTGGTCAGAAGTTGGTTCTCTACTTAGAGATTCCACCTACCCGGTGGAGCTCTGCAGGTGTCTGTACTTGGGCCATCTTTATCCTAGTGGCCTTTCAGTATCTAATGGGGGGCTACAAGAAGGGGACAGATTCTTCAGCAGAGTCTGTTGTGACAGGACAAGGAGAAATGGTTTCAGACTAAAGGATGGGAGATTGAGGTTGGATAGAAGGAAAAAGTCTTTCATGGTGAGGGTGGTCAAGAACTTGAACGGGTTGCCCAGAGTGGATGCTGGAGTCTCTGTCTTTGGAGACTTTCAAGACCAGATTGGACCAGGCTCTGAGCACCTGATCAAGCTGTGAATGTCCCTGCTCATTGCAGAGGAGTTGGACTGGATGACACTTAATGGTTCCTTTGAACTCCGAGGATTCTTTGATTCTGTAATTTCAAGATCGATGCTGAGAAGAAAGCAGGTTTTCAAGTGAGATCAAACTAGCAGAATCAGGTGACATCCTGAGAGCAGGTCTGCCATTCAGAGTGACTTAAATAGGTGGAGGGGTGGGAAGAAATGGAGCTTAGGGAATTGAAGCCCTGCCCCTGGGAAGGCCGCTGCTGTGGCCCTGACTGGGCCTACGTGGCTGAGGGGCAGCCCTCCAGGAAAGTCCCTTGCCAGTAATATGAGTGGAAGTGAGCCCACTGTGCCCTGACAGCAGCATCCTGGGCAACATGAACAGGGCAAGGGCCAGGAAATTAAAATACAGATTGTCTGCTTCTGCTTAGCACTTTTTAGATCACATCCAAGTACTGTGTCCAGTTTTGGGATCCTGTTAAAATGAAGCCTAAATACTGAAGTGATTTCAGTGAAAGACTCAGGGCTGGTGCACTTGCTGAATGAGGAGAGGCTTAGGAAACGGACATTTTTCAGCCTGTTGAAGCTACAGCTTTTGGAGGACGTCACAGCAACCTCAGTGTACTTATGCAGACATTATTGAGACGATGGAGAAGATGGAGCTCTTTCCTGTAATGAAGGGTGAGAAGGATGTAAGTTAAAATATAAGAACTTCAGACTGGATATGAGAAGTAACTTTTTCACCATTAGGACAATCAAACCTGGGAGATTGTGCAGTCTCCACTGTTCGACATTTCCAAGACTTAACCATATACACCAGCCTGGTCTGATTTCAGAGCTGATCCTGCTTTGAATAGAGGCTTGAAACCAGAGGTACTCTGAGATCCTTTCCAATGTGAAATATCCTATGACAGCTGGAAGTCATCTGGTCAAAGCAAGGCCAGCTTAGAGAAGGCTCAGACAGTTTTTGAATATCTTCAAGTATGGAGACTCTGCAACCTTTCCAGGTAACTTGTGCCATTATTAGACTACTCTCAACAGATTTGAAAGGTGGGCCTCAGAGAATCTAATGAGGTTCAACACAGCAAAGTGCAAGGTTTTGCACTTGGGCCAGAGGAATCCCAGGCATCCATACAGACTAGAAGGAGCAGTCCTTGAGAGCAGCCCTGTGGAGAAGGACCTGGGGGTCCTGAGGGATGAAAAGCTAACATGAGCCAGCAGTGTGCTCTTGCAGCTCAGAAAGCCAATGATATCCTGGGCTCCATCAGAAGAGGGGTGGCCAGCAGGCACAAGGAGGTGATTGTGCCTCTCTGTTCTGCTCTTGTGAGGCCCCGCCTGCAGTACTGTGTCCAGGTCTGGAGCCCCCAGTACAAGAAAGACAGGGAGCTGTTGGAGAGGGTCCAGAGGAGCAACAAGGATGATCAGGGGGCTGCAGCACCTCCCCTACAGAAACAGGCTGAGGGAGCTGGGCTCGTTCAGCCTAGAGAAAAGAAGGCTGTGGGGTGACCTCATTGCAGCCTTCATTCCATAAAGGGAGCCTACAAACAGGAGGGGAGTCAACTCTTTGAAAGGGTGGATAACAGCAGGACAAGGGGAAATGGTTTTAAGTTGAGGGAGGGAAGATTTAGGTTGGATGTCAGGGGGAAGTTCTTTAAAGAGAGAGAAGTGAGGTGCTGGAACAGCTGCCCAGAAAGGCTGTGGATGCCCCGTCCATCCTTGGAGGTGTTCAAGGCCAGGTTGGATGGGGCCTTGGGCAGCCTGGAGTGGTATGAAGTGTGGAGGTTGGTGGCCCTGCGTGTAGCACGGGGGTTGGATCATGATGATCCTTGAGGTCCCTTCCAACCCAAGCCGTTCTATGATTCTGTTATTCAAGCATGTCAAGACTCTGGAAAAATTGGGATTTGATGCCTTCTTCATGTCTCTAAACAAAAGTTTTTCAATATAGAAAAAGTGAAGTTACTTTATTTAGATAAAGTAGGTAGAATCAACGTAGAGGGCATGGTATGAAACTTTGAGATACTCTTAGGGACTCAAATAAGAGACATTTGCATGTTGTTGAGGTTTTTGTTGCTGACAAGACAAATTGTCTTTCTTTTATGTATTTAGGTGAATTATCATAGTATACTGATTTTATTTTCTCTGTGTTTATTTTCTACCATCTCTGTGGTTAGATGAAGTGGATGGATCTGTGCTAGATCTTCAGCTCAAGAGGGAGGACAGAAGTGAGTACAGTCATTGTAAGGAAATATTCTCTTCAGCTAGTGCAAATGAAGTCCCAGTAGATGAACATCATGTTTGGAATTGATATACTTTTGTTGAGTATGGGGAAAGACTGGGGGGACTTGTATTACCTCAAGTGGTGCTGCAGTAGTCCAGGTCAGTAGTTCTGAATGCCGAGGCTGTTGGATTGGCACTTCAAGGAAGATTTTATGTTGGAAGCAGTATGTAGATCTGAAAGATGGTATTGTCCACTCTGCA